GAAAAGCCTGTGAGAGGGAAAGACACAGCTGCAGATCTGGCCTTCAGAGGCAGGAGGAGTCCATGAACCCAATTGTGACCCTGTTGACCCTCTGGGCAGCTTCAAGAGGGAACTGGATAAACATATGGAGCAGAGGTTCCATCCATGTCTATTAGCCACAAGGTATAGAGAGGAACTCTCGGTCTGGGGCAAGGGATGCTCTGTATTCTTGGTGCTGGGGGGGTGGGAAACAATGGGAGGGCTCCTAGTATCCTCCTGGCCCCACTGCTGGACCTCCTGGTGGCACCTGGTATTTCTGGCCACTGTGTGACAGAGTGTTGGACTGGATGGGCCATTGGCCTGATCCAACATTGGCTTCTCTTATGTTCTTATGGATAAACATCTGGAACAGAGGTTCATCAGTGGCTCGTAGCCACAAGGTACAGATAGGAACTCTCAGTCTGGGGCAAGCGATGCTCTGTATTCTTGGTGCTTTGGGGGGGGGGTCGACAGTGGGAGGGGCTTCTAGTGTCCTGGGCCCACTGCTGGACCTCCTGATGGCCCCTGGTATTTTTGGCCACTGTGTGACAGAGTGTTGGACCGGATGGGCCATTGGCCTTATCCAACATTGGCTTCTCTTATATTCTTCTAAGAGGGAACTGGATAAATATATGGAGCAGAGGTTCCATCCATGTCTATTAGCCACAAGGTGCAGATAGGAACTCTCGGTCTGGGGCAAGGGATGCTCTGTATTCTTGGTGCTTGGGGGATGGGGGCAACAGTGGGAGGGCTCCTAGTGTCCTGGCCCCACTGCTGGACCTGGTATTTTTGGTGTAGTGGTTAAGTGCGTGGACTCTAATCTGGGAGAACCGGGTTTGATTCCCCACTCCACCACTCGCAGCTGCTGGTGTGACCTTGGGTCAGTCACAAGTTCCTTCAGGGCTGTTCTCCCAAGAGCAGTTCTTGAAAGAGCTCTTTCTGCCCCACCTACCTCACAGGCAATGCTTCCTCTACGCTGCGGAGTCTTGTGATCAAAAATCCTACTTTGTGAGCTCCTGGCATTAAAGTTGTGAGCGAGCGATTTGGCTGCTGCACAAATTAGTTTGCTCTGGAGCCCTCCTTCCTGAGCGGAGACAAAAACATGTGAGCCGGAAGCTTAAAAATTGTGAGCTAGCTCACACTAACTCAGCTTAGAGGGGACACTGCTCACCGGGTGTCTGTTGTGGGGAGGGGGAGGGAAAGGTGTTTGTGAGCCGCTCTGAGACTCCTTCGGGTAGTGAAGGGCAAGGGGCATAAATCCAATCTCTTCTCTTCTTCTAATCTCCCTGGATCTCAGAAACGAATCAGGCTTGGTCCTGGGGTAGTAAAGTCGGTGACCCGGGGGGTCTTGCTACCACCAAGGTGGTTCAGGCCCCTTCCTGTAGCCTGAAGGACTAGAGCTCTGGGTGGTTTTTAAAAACAAAAATGAAGCTGAGGAACACAGGTTTATACCGAATCAGACCCTCGGTCCATGAAGGTCAGCACTGTCTACTCAGACAGGCAGCAGCTCTCCCGAGTCTTGGGTGGAGGACTTCCGTATCATACCCACCTGATTCTTTTAACTGGAGATACCAGGGATTGAATCGGGGACTATCTGCACGCCAAGCAGACGCTCTGCCGCTGAGCCACGGCCCATGAATACCAATGAACGCGCTTGGCAGTCGCGACGGTGGGACGCGGCTCTTCTCACAACCCTTTGCAATCATGCAAATCAGAAACACCCTCCACTGTAGATGAGGATAACAAATTGTCCGTGATCCACCAATGACACATTCGTCCGAATTTCTATGCTACCAGGATCTTGACAGAAAGTGCAGGTAAAAAAAGGTAAAGGTTTCCCTTGCTCGAAAGCCAGTCGAGTCCGACTCTAGGGTTGCGGTGCTCATCTCCGTTTCAAAGCCGAAGAGCCAGCACTGTCCGAAGACATTTCCATGGTCATGTGGCCAGCATGACTAAACACCAAGGCGCACGGAACGGTTACCTTCCCACCAAAGTGGTCCCTATTTATCTACTTGCAATTTCTTGCTTTCGAACTGCTAGGTTGGCAGGAGCTGAAACTAGAGATGGAAGCTCACTCCGTCATGCGGCACAGTCGGGTCTCGAACTACTGACCTTCCACAGCCTGCAGTTCAGCGTCTTCACCACTTGAGCCACCGCAGCTCCTTTAGATCCCAGACTTAAATCCCACTGAAAGTAAGTCACCAAGCAGGACTGATGTCAGGTATCCCTGTCATAGATCTGGAATGTGGAGGGGTATCCTCCTTCTCGTTCCCAGCTCTCTCCTGCTCAGCGACTGAGCGCTATCTTATGCTTGGCCTTGTAGAAGTGCCAGCTGGAACTTACACTGCTGGGAAAGTTAACGGCTTTTTTGCTTTGCCCGGCTGTCAGCTATGCTGCCAGGGGGTTGGGATGTTCTTTCAGTGTCTGTGTAAATTGCTTTCGCATTCCTCTCTCTCTGCTTTGCGCTGAAATCTTTATTTCTAAAGAAGTACAGGTGGGGGTGTGTGTTGTCTGCCTTCCAGGCAAGCCATGGGAGCCGAACAATTCCCAGCTTCGCATAGTAACAGTTTACTAGCTTTAGCCTGCGCGCGGGAAGGTGCCTAATTGGCCAGCGCAGTGGGAGAGAGACAACTGCTATTGTTAACAGTGACTGTGTTAATGCATCTATGGCTCTTCAATAAAAGTATAACCTTTCCAAGAAGTGTGTACTCTGTTGTTGGCTGTAGGTTCTGACACCCGCGCACGAAACATATCTATTGGCTTTTGCTTCCAGGGGGAATGTTTGATTTCACTATAAGTCAGAGGCCCTAGTGCTGATGGCCATTCCTGACACAATCTGCACACGTGTTCTTTAGTACTGGAACCACTAATAAACAGTTATCTTCTTATGAAGCCCTGTGTGGTGTGACCTGATGTGTTGCGTTTGAGCACTCCTGTGGTCACTGGCTGAACACATGAAGCTGCCTTCTACTGACTCAGACCCTTACTGTCAGGGGTCATTTTGTAGAAAAAGAGGTGCAGGAGCTCATTAGCGTAACTTATTTGCATATGCCACACCCCCTGACATCACCGGACATGTGTCAGAAGGCAACACCCACCGCTCAGGCTCCACTGGATTTTTGGATTGCTAACTATGGGGGGGGACACACACACGCAGATCTGCCCTCACAGAAGAGGGAGAGCTTGTACCTGAATAAACCTTGGCCTTAAAGGTGCCACTGGACTGTTTTGGATTGCGATCGGGGAGGGGGGGGCTCTGCAACTTACCTGGCTGCTTCTTGCTCCTTGTGGCTGCTGGGAGCAGGGGGCGGGGCTTGTTGCATGTGCCCGCCCCCTGGGCTCTTTACTGCCGGAGCTCCGCTCCTGTGCGCTCCTGCAGAAAATGACCCCTGCTTACGGTCCACATGGGTCAGTCTTGCCGACTCAGACAGGCAGCGGCTCTCCAGGGTCTCAGGCAGAGGTCTTCCCCATCACTTGCTGCCTGGTCCCTTTTTTAACTGGAGACGTTGCTGGAGATTGAACCTGGGACCTTCTGCACGCCAAGCAGAGGCTCTGCCACTGAGCCACAGCCCCTCTTTACAGCTCTCCAGGGTCTCAGGCCCTTTACAGCTCTCCAGGGTCTTTCCCATCACCTGCTGCCTGGTCCTTTTAACTGGAGATGCTGCTGGGGATTGAACCTGGGACCTTCTACACGCCAAGCAGAGGCTCTGCCACTGTGCCACAGCCCCCTCCCTGAGGATGGCACTGCGGCTCCTGACTCCGTGCTCGTCCATGCCGCAGGGGGCCAGAGGGCTTTCACTTCATCAGTCAAACGCAGAGGGCTTTCACTTCATCAGTCAAACGCATGAAGCTGAAGCAATCTAGTGACCACTTGTACCTGTTGGTCAGCTTCACCCCCCCACCCCGGTGGACTGGCCTGTTTGTCCTGGGCTGGCCTTGCGCCTCTCTCCTCCACCCCTCGCTGGCTAAACTATCCTGTGACCAGTGTTCCCTCTAAGCTGAGTTAGCGTGAGCTAGTTCACGGTTTCTTAGCCTCCAGCTGACACATTTCCTGTCTCAGCTCAGGAAGGAGGGCTCCAGAGCAAACTTGATTTATGCAGCAGCCGAATCGCTCGCTCCCAACTTTAATGCCGGGAGCTCACAAAGCGGAATTTTTGCTCACCAGACTCCACGGCTTAGAGGGAGTGTTGGACCAGGGCAAACCACCTCTGTTCATCTCTGATCGTGACAACCCCACCTAACTAACCTGGGATCCCAGCCAGGGTTCCCTCTCAGCTGAGTGAGTGTGAGCCAGCTCACAGTTTCTTAGCCTCCAGCTCACACATTTCTGTCTCAGCTCAGGAAGGAGGGCTCCGAAGCAAACTGATTTATGCAGCAGCCCAATCGCCCGCTCACAACTTTCATGCCAGCAGCTCACCAAGTGGAATTTTTCTCACCAGAGGAAGCACTGCTTGTGACGACCGCCTTCTGGCCCGCCCAGCCTCCCAAGTACCACCGTCAGGTGTCTTTTCGACACCTGTGTTTTCGGCACTGTGCTTGCCTAGTGCCGGTCCCGACCCACAGGAAGAGACACCAGGTCGCGGCTTTCACTTTTAAAAAAATGTGTGTTTTTTTTTATTTCAAGATCTTTAATTCCCCCCCCCCACATTTTTAAACGCGTTTCTCAAAAAAAGGCTGAGTAAGAGTACCAAAAGAAAGTGAGCCGCATCACGGCAAAGGTTTAGAAACCACACCAGGGAGGGGGGCGGGAGGGAGGGAGGGAGGGAGGATCGGGGCGTTGGAACACCCCAGGGAGCAAGCTGAACCGAGCGGCCTTTGAGGTGCTGGCAGCAAAGCGGAGGAGGCTCGACTCTGAGCAAGAGGCGTGATCCGCGACCATGGTCTTCAGCCGGCCCACCTGCTCTTCCTGCAGCCCCACCACTTAGGGGGCCACAGGCAGAGGGGATGGGTGAGCCCATCTCCCCCCACAACAGCTGCTGGCCCGGGATGAGCCAGGAGGCCCCGACAGCAACAGCGCTGCCAGCACCGGTGGGGCTTGGCTTGTTCCTGGTTACCATCTACCTCACCCCCCAGGTACAGACCCCCCTCTGGGAACTTTCCCCTGGGGAGTTAGAGGGCCACTGGACCCCTGGAGGGGGGTGGGGAGGGAGGAGCTATCCCAGGCAATATATAGACGGGGACATACCAAACAACCCACACTTCATTGAGGAAACACTTGGCGTCGTCTTCTCGCGTATTATTTCTTTTCTCTCTCTCTCTCTCTCTTTTTTTCTCTGTACAAAATACATCAAAGCATGCTATGAAGTCGGGGAAGAAAACAGAACAAACGGTTACAAGAGATGAGCTTTGTACAATAGGAAACGGGGGCTCTCGTGCTTCTTCCCCCCCCTCCCCCCCTCCGCTCGAGCTCTCCGGACCCTCCCGGGCTTCATGTCAGGTTGTTCTGGAGGCAGTTCACCCCCTCCGCGTCGCCAGGGTCCCCTTTCCCATTGTCGAGCTTGGGCGAGACGGAGTTCTGAATGTTAAAGGACTACTCTTCCTTGATGCAGGATTTCAAGGGGTCCTGGAGCTTGTGGGGGGCATTGGGGTCATCCTAAAGGTGGGGGGGAGGGAGGGGAAGAGAGGGAGCGGGGGAGAGAAAAGGAGTCAGTGTCACAGCAGGTATGGCACACGAAACCTCCTAATGTGCAGTCGCGGGGGGGGGGGGGACGGGGGACAGAGCAGAACCAGAGACCTGGCTTCAGATCCCTGCCCAGCCAAGACCCCCCGCACCAGCCTTGGGCAAGACTCTTAGCCTAACCTACCCCACAGGGTTGTTGTGAGGTTAAAAAGTCGCTGGGAGGAAGTAACACACATGGGAAAGGTTTGACCTAAAGGTCTTTTTCTTGTAATAGGGTAAAGGTAAAGGATTCCCTTGCTCGAAAGCCGGTCAAATCCGACTCTAGGGATGCGGTGCTCATCTCCGTTCCCAAGCCAAAGAGCCAGCACTGTCCGAACACTTCTCCATGGTCATGTGGCCGGCATGCCTAAATGCCGAGGCGCACGGACCAGGGTTACCTTCCCACCGAAGTGGTACCTGTTTATCTACTTGCAACTTCTTGCTTTTGAACTGCTAGGTTGGCAGGAGATGGGGCCAGAGACGGGAGCTCACCCCGTCACGCGGCACTCGGGTCTCGAACTGCTGAACTACCAACCTTCCGGTCTGCGGCTCAGCATCTTAACCACCTGAGCCACTGCAGCCCCATCAAAAGCTAGTACACCCCCCCCCCAAAAAAAATTTGTTGTTGGTCTCTAAGGGGCTCCTCGACCCGGATCTCGCTGTTTTCCTGCAGAACTACACGGATGCCACCTTGAGAGATCGAATCCGTGCCAACCCTCGCTCCTTGCTGTATCCAGAAATCTGCAGAAACAATGACCACGTCAGAACTGATGGCTAGAAAGGGCGTCAAAGGGGAGCCGTGTTCGTCTGCAGTAGATGAGCCACACTGAAGTCCAGCAGCGGCAGAAGAAAGAGATTGGATTTATACCCCCGCCCTTCACTGCCCAAAGGAGTCTCAGAGTGGCTTACAAACTCCTTTCCCTTCCCTTCCTCACAACAGACACCCTGTGAAGTAGGTGGGGCTGAGAGAGCTCTGGACAGAAACGGCTCTTTCTCAAGGACAGCCCTTATCAGAACTACGGCTTGCCCAACACCCCAGCAGCTGCAAGTGGAGGAGAACAACAAGAAGAAGAGAATGGATTTATACCCCTGCCCTTCACTGCCAAAAGGAGTCTCAGAGCGGCTTACAACCTCCTTCCCTTCCCCTCCCCACAAGAGACACACTATGAGGTAGGTGGGGCTGAGAGAGCTCTTTCGAGGACTGCTCCTGAGAGAATTGCTCCGAGAGAACCTGTGACTGACCCAGGGTCACCCCAGCAGCTGTCTGTGGAGGAGTGGGGGAATCAAACCCGGTTCTCCCAGATGAGAGTCCGCGTACTCAACCACGACACCCACTGGCTCTAAGCACCACCTTAGAGACCAATGGTATTTCCAGGAAACAAGCACTGGAGAGCCAGAGTTCTCTGGGTGTCTGGCAAAGGGAGCTGTCACATTCAGAAGCTCACAACCTGAAAAGCTACCAGACTCTCGAATCTAGCAAAAATGGTACTGTCCTCTCAAGGATGGCCCCACAGGGAGGGCAGCTAAGGGGGAGGCAAGCAGAAAGCCCTAGTCTCACTGCCGGGGGTGGGGATCTCCCCCCCCCCGCCAAGCAAGCAAGCGGGCAGCGAGACTCTCCTTCGCATTCTGCTCGATGCTGAGCCTGCGCTTGGGCCTCATGCGGCCAGGGTTGCATGGCAACCAGAGAGGGTGGCATGCATGCAGAGTCCTCCGTGTGGACATCTAGGCGTCCCTCCCCCAAGAGGAGGGACGGAAGAATGTCCTATTTTCTGCACACCTGAGGATTCTCCAGGCGCACGGAGACCTCTCCGGCTGTCGCACCCCGCATGGAGCCATCCCTCTTCCCCATTAGAGGGCACCATACTGCACCGATCAGCACTCTGGGGTGGGGGGCAAGGAAGGAGGCGGCCTTATGCTTACTGTTATCGTCACTGTGGCATGAGCCAGGTACAGCGTGGCCTGTGCTTAGGCCGTTTTAATGTCCCAAACCACCCCTGCTAGGGAAGCTGAGTCAGACTACCCAATCAACATCTGGGGAAGGCCTCGGCCTCTCTGCCCTGTTCCTGGCCCTCCAGAGAGGAACTGGCTGGCCCCCATGTGAGACGGGAGGCTGGACTAGAGGGACCCTCCCTGGTCTGATCCAGCAGGGCTCTTCTGGTGTTCTTCTCAGGGGAAGGCCTCGGCCTCTCTGCCCTGTTGTGGGACCGCCAAAGGAACTGGCTGTGTGAGACAGGGGTGCTGGACTAGATGGACCCTCCCAGGTACTTAAACAGAGGAAACGTCATACAGATAAATAGGAGAGCCCCCCCCCTCCCTGGCCTGGCCCCCTCCCATGAAGCACTGGCTGGGTCACACCAACGATCCTGCAGATTCGCTCTCATGCCCCACAGAGTTATTGATGCTCTGAACATGCGGTTGCATTCTGAAGCCACCCCGCCCCTCCCTCTGCCCCAGGCAGCCATGGGAAACAGGGGCAATCAGAAGTAAGCATCCCCCCCCACACACACACAGTCCCACCACTACACCGCATCCGGCCAGACTTGTGTGGCTGAATTACACACAGACTGACTGACAGACAGACACTGGCTATGGCAGACAATGGGACACGGGGAGGGGGGAAGCAAACATGGAGGAGGGAAGCGCATTGATCAGAGAAGCTCAAAGCAACAGCAGTGCTGGCAGACGACAATCGCGGGAAGGGACCGGCTGGATCTTAGCGAAAACTTTCTGACAGAGTCATGCAAGAGTGGAATCAGCTGCCCGGGGAGTTGGTGAGCGCCCCCTCCCTGGCAGTCTTTAAGCAGGAACTGTGAGGGAACTGCACTAGAAAATATTTAAATAACCATCACCACATTTATACAAAAATGTGTACCAAAATCTGCATAAATAAATGCACAAGGGCAGTTGAAAATGGTGAAATTAACGATGATCTCCGCCGCAGTGTCCCCTCTAAGCTGAGTTAGGGTGAGCTAGCTCACAGTTTTTTAGCCTCCGGCTCACACATTTTTTGTCATCACTCAGGAAAGATGGCTTTAAAGGTAAAGGTTTCCCTTGCTCGAAAGCTAGTCGAATCCGACTCTAGGGTTGTGGTGCTCATCTCCGTTTCAAAGCCGAAGAGCCAGCGCTGTCCGAAGACGTTTTCCGTGGTCACGTGGCCGGCATGACTAAACACCAAGGCGCACGGAACACTGTTACCTTCCCACCGAAGTGGTACCTATTTATCTACTTGCAATTTCTTGCTTTCGAACTGCTAGGTTGGCAGGAGCTGGAACTAGAGACGGGAGCTTACTCCGTCATGCGGTCTCGAACTGCTGAACTACTGACCTTCCACAGCCTGCAGTTCAGCGTCTTAACCACTTGAACCACCGCAGCTCCAAGGATGGCTTTAGAGCAAGCTAATTGATGCAGCAGCCAAATTGCTGGCACACAAGACTCCACAGCTTAGAGGGAACATTGATCTCCGGAACGTTCTACCGTTTCGATACTATTCTTCTTCCAAATGCGGATGAAAGCAGCGACTCTTGGTCTGTTATTTCAGCAGGTACATATCAACAATTTCATTAATTTTCACTGATGTATCATAACATAGTTGCAAGAGATTCTCTGAAAGAATGTTCCTAGGGCAAAGCAATTAATGAAATTGTTGATACGTACCTGTTGACATAACAGACCAAGAGTCGCTGCTTTCATCCACATTCGGAAGAAGAATAGTATCGAAACGGCAGAACATTCCGGAGATCATCGTCAATCTCACCATTTTCAACTGCCTTTGTGCACTTATATATGCAGATTTTTGGTACACATTTTTGTATAAATTTTGTGATCGTTATTTAAATATTTTCTAGCGCTGTTCCCTCACAGTTTCTTCTTTTTTCGGTCTGTTCTGTGACTGTGACCATCATTTTTGAGCCACAGTCTTTAAGCAGCAGCTGGACACACACTTGTCAGGGATGCTCTAGGCTCATCTGGCATCGAGCAAGGGGTCTAGCTTCACCATGTCATGTGCAGCCCCAGCACTAGGGCTGCCCGGTCCCCCCCTGACCACCAGCAGGCGATGGGAGGGGTCCGGTTGCCAGCTTTGGGTTGGGAAACTCCTGGAGATTTGGGGGTGGAGCCCGGGGAGGACAGGGACCTCAGTGGGGGACAATGCCATGGACCCCACCCTCCAAAGCATCCATTTTCTCCAGAGGAACTGATCTCTGTAGTCTGGAGATGAGCTGTGATTCCAGGAGATACCCAGGTCCCACCGGGAGAAAGGCATCTCTACCCAGCACACATACCCTAGCGCCCTAAGAGATGTGGCAGCCAATGTTCCCCCTAAGCTGTGGAGTCTTGCGAGTAAAAATTCCACTTTGTGAGCCCCTGGCATTAAGGTTGTGAGCGAGCGATTTGGCGACTGCATAAATCCGTTTGCTCTGGAGCCCTCCTTCTCGAGCGAAGACAAAAAAACCCTGTGAACTAGCTCACACTAACTAGAGGGAACACTGGTGGCAGCGCATCTATGGTACCTCAGGCCACTCGTAGTGACGGAAATCACACTTGGTGGGAACAGAGCAGGGAGTTCAATGATGTCTGCATAACTGAGTCGCTGTCCTAAAAGAAGAATGATGTCCCAACGAAGCTGTTCGGCTAGATCCCCTCTGTGACTGAAGCAAGGAACAGATCTGCGCATGGGAGCCACTAATGGTGGGGCGCTGACATTCACAACCTCTATATGGGGGCCCCCCGGGGGGGGGGGGGGGGGAATCAGAAGGCCATTTAGCCTGCAGAACCTAAAGGCGCCCTCAGCACTCATGGCCGGCCTAGTCAGACAAGATGAAGCCTCAGCCCTGGTGTTGCCTAGCAACCACTACTCACAGCCCTGCATGGGAAAGAAGGACGTCCCACACCTTTTTTGTGGCCCTTCACCACCACTATTGTGTGGCATACACAACTGGAAGAGGAAGGGGCACGGCAGCACTGGTGTTGCTTCGCGATCCCTGGAGGGGGGGGGGAGGCAACAGGATCCGGGTTCCTGTGGGGCCTAGAAACCCCCTTTTCATTCCAGAGGGGCCAAAGCAACGGCTCCCGACCTTCTGGAGCATTAACAGGGGGCACGATGCAGTGGCTCAGGCACTGGAAACCCAAGTTTGAACCCACTTTTCGCCATGAAGCCCTGCTAAGGTGGGGTGCAGATTTTCTAGAGTATGCTGGAACTGGGTTCAGAGCACACCGAGGCATTCGTTCCAGGGCAGAGAAGCATTTTTCACAACCCTCTCCACCACAGTTAGGGGCTTTTGAGAAGTTGCCCTCTTTCAGCCTAGCCCTACCCCGCAGGGTTTTTCGTGGAGGGACTACACCGACAGTCGAAGGAAGGGCCGCACAAACATGCCAAGCGCCGGCAGCGCTGCCGGTCTGTCCTGACCCACACCAGTATTCCCGCCCCTGGCTTTGCTTTCTCTCTCTCTCTCTCTGGGGCCAGGCGTCCGCCGGCCTGTGTGCTGCTGAAAGGACACAGGGCAGAGTCGGTGGGTCAGGAATCAGAGATCAAAGTTCCTGTTTTTAAAAGATGCTTGGCATTTGCAGAAGAAACTGCTAATTTGCGGCGCTCTGGGCCAACCAGCCACTAAGCGCAAAAGGAAGAAGACGAGATTGGATTTATACCCCTTGCCCTTCACTACCCAAAGGAGTCTGAGAGCGGCTGACAAACTCCTTCCCCTCCCCCTCCCCACAACAGACACCCTGCGAGGGAGGTGGGGCTGAGAGAGCTCGGACAGAAACGGCTCTTTTCCCAAGGACAGCTCTGACAGAACTGTGGCTTGCCCAAGGTCATCCAGCCAGGTGCAAGTAGAGGAGTGGGGACTCAAACCCGGTTCTCCCAGATTAGAGTCCGCGCACTTAACCCCTACACCAAACTGGCACCAAAAGGAGAAGATGTACTGTTTTTTGAAGAAGCGGCAGTCCTGCACTGGGGCCTGCAAAGACCACCGGACGTTTGGGAGTCTCCTTGGGGTCCTTTTCTCCTGTATCTACTTCTCTGGTTGGCCAGAGACTTAAACTGGGAGTCCTTCAGGGACCGTTCCTACAGACCCTTGAGACCGGATGGGCGCCCTGTGCCAAAGGAGGGGGACGAAGCACCATCCCCTCTGCCCTGTGGCCATGCAGAAGCATGCAGAGGTACAACGGCACACCTCTCACGTTGCCGAGCTCCACCACAGCAAGGCGATCAGGAGCTGCGATTGCCACATGGCTGGGCCCACCACAGCAAGGCGATCAGGAGCTTCGATTGCCACATGGCTGGGCCGGCCGCTGGGTCCCCGGTCTCCTCACTCAACTTCCCATTAGCAAGGCCTCTTGCGGATGCCGGCCTGCGCATTCTGTGAAGCGGGCGGGAGTGGGCAGGAGAGTGCGGAAAGGCTGCGGGAGAGGGTTTGAAGCATGCAGAAGGGGGAGACGTGAAGAAGACGAGTTACCTGACAGATAATGTTATCATAGTAAGCCAATGCACGGGCATGAGGGGAGAGGTTACACGGGGTGTCGCAAAATTTCCTTACATTTGGATGGGAGCCCTCGGCAATTGTGGACAGGGAGAAGTTGTCGTTGTGGAGTTCCGACGGAGTTCGGTATCTGCCGACAGGGAAGGAGAGACAAAAGTGGGAAAGGGGGAGGTGGGAAGAGAAAGATGGCGATCAGAAAACCCCATGAGGCACAATGGAAGTACTCCTGTCACAAACTCAGGCAGAGAAGCGAAGGGTCACATTACCTACGAGCCCTACAGATGGGCCTTTTCCCGAGCCCGTTTTGAGGCATTCCCTTCTGCTGTAAGGTACAGGTAAAGGTTCCCTTGCTCGAAAGCCAGTCGAGTCCGACTCTAGGGTTGCGGTGCTCATCTCCGTTTCAAAGCCGAAGAGCCAGTGCTGTCCGAAGATGTTTCCGTGGTCATGTGGCCGGCATGACTAAACACCAAGGCGCACGGAACGCTGTTACCTTCCCACCAAAGTGGTACCTATTTATCTACTTGCAGTTTCTTGGTTTCGAGCTGCTAGGTTGGCAGGAGCTGGAACTAGAGACGGGAGCTCACTCCGTCTTGCGGCACCCGGGTCTCGAACTGCTGAACTACTGACCTTCCACAGCCTGCAGTTCAGCGTCTTAACCACTTGAGCCACGAGTTCCAGTGCATGAACATATATGCCCACGCAGGGCTAATATGGTGGAATCAGTTACTCATGTCCTCCTGTTCTCCAGATGCTATCAGGAGGAACGAGACCATCTCATACTACCCCTTCTGTCTAGATTTATCCCTCTGCAGTCTTATCTTGACTTTAGGTCGGAAGTCCTTCGTAAATTCCTCCTAGGAGACGCTCAGAGCTCAGTGACTTATGCTGTGGCAAAATTTTGTTGCTTGGCTATTAGGAAATATAAACTTATTTTAGCTGAAAAAAACCTGTATGATTCTCTTATTAATATTATTTTATTTTACTGATTCTATTAATTTTCTCTTGTTAATGTTTTTATACTATTGCTAAGGATCACTCGGGCTGCCAAAGGGCAGTGGACATTTGGGGCTTCAGCCCCAGAACTTCTTTTCCATACTGAGCCTCAAAGCTTGAGTGAACATAAGAACATAAGAGACGCCAATGTTGGATCAGGCCAAAGGCCCATCCAGTCCAACACTCTGTGTCACACAGTGGCCAGAAATACCAGGTGCCATCAGGAGGTCCAGCAGTGGGGCCAGGACATTAGAAGCCCTCCCACTGTTGACCCCCCCCCCAAGCACCAAGAAGACAGAGCATCACTTGCCCCAGAGCCCCTAGCTATACCTTGTGGCTAATAGCCACTGATGGACCTCTGCTCCATATGCTTATCTAATTCCCTTTTGAAGCCGTCCATGCTTGTAGCACCCACCACTTCCTGTGGCAGTGAATTCCATGTGTTAATCACTCTTTGGGTGAAGAAGTACTTCCTTTTATCCGTTCTAACCCGACCGCTCTGCAGTTTCATGGAGTGCCCACGAGTTCTTGTATTGTGAGAAAGGGAGAAAAGTACCTCTTTCTTTACCTGCTCTTTCCCATGCATAATCTTATAAACCTCGATCATGTCACCCCTTAGTCGTCTTTTCTCCAAGCTAAAGAGCCCTAAGCGCTTTAACCTTTCCTCATAGGGAAAGTGTTCCAACCCTTTTATCATTCGAGTTGCCCTTTTCTGCACTTTTTCCAAAGCTATAATATCCTTTTTAAGGTGTGGTGCCCAGAACTGCACACAGTATTCCAAATGAGGTCTCACCATTGATTTATATAGGGGCATTATTATATTGGCTGATCTGTTTTCAATACCCTTCCTAATAATCCCCAGCATAACATTGGCTTTTTTTATTGCAGTCACACACTGTCTCGACATTTTCAGTGAGTTATCTACTACAACTCCAAGATCTCTCTCTTGCTCAGTCTCTGCCAGTTCAGACCCCATCAATGTGTATTTATATTTAGGATTTTTGGCTCCAATGTGCATCACCTTGCACTTGGCCACATTGAACCCCATTTGCCATGTTGATGCCCACTCGCCCATCCTTGACAGATCCCCTTGGAGTGCCTCACAATCCTCACTGGTTTTCACCACCCTGAACAACTTTGTATCATCCGCAAATTTAGCCACTTCACTGCTTACTCCCATCTCCAAATCATTAATGAACAAGTTAAAAAGCAGTGGACCAAGTACTGATCCCTGCGGTACCCCACTGCTTACCACCCTCCACTGAGTGGGAGACGTCGTCAGCAGAGAGCGTACCTGGGCATGTTTGGATTGCTGAGCGGTTGGGTTAGAACGGATAAAAGGGAGACCTTCTTCACCCAAAGAGTGATTAACACCTGGAATTCACTGCCACAGGAGATGGTGGTGGTGGCTACAAGCATGGGCAGCTTCAAGAGGGAACTGGATAAGCATCTGGAGCAGAGGTCCATCAGTGGCTATTAGCCACAAAGTGTAGATAGGAATTCTCAGGCTGGGGCAGGTGATGCTCTGTCTTCTTGGTGCTGGGGGGGGGGGCAGCAGGGTGAGGGCTTCTAGTGTCCTGGCCCCACTGGTGGGCCTCCTGATGGCCCCTGGTATTTCTGGCCACTGTGTGACACAGAGTGTTGGGCTGGAGGGGCCATTGGCCTGATCCAACATTGACTTCTCTTATGTTCTTATGGATAAACATCTGGAGCAGAGGTCCATTGGTGGCTATTAGCCACAAGGTATACATAGGAAATCACAGGCTGGGGCAGGTGAGGCTCTGTATTCTTGGTGCTGGGGGGGGCAACAGTGGGAGGGCTTCTAGTGTCCTGGCCCCACTGCCGGACCTCCTGATGGCACCTGGTATTTTTGGCCACTGTGTGACACAGAGTGTTGGACTGGATAGGCCATTGGCCTGATCCAACATTGGCTTCTCTTGTGTTCTTATGTTCTTATGATGGCCTGTCTCACCCTGTTTCATACAGGGCAGGCCTGCTTTCTGCAGCTCATCGGTTCTCGGCACCACGTGGAAGCAGAGAACCAAGACATGAACCTTGACACAGAGAGTACTCCATCTTTCTGTGTTATACCTCTGAGGGTGCCAGTCACAGCTGCTGGAGAAACGTCAGGTCCTACAATGCCAAGACCACGGCCAGACAACCCGGAAAATCTACAACAACTAACAAGACATGAGACCAAGCTGCTATCCTGTGAACACAGACCCCACTGAATACTGCAGGACTTCCTTCCAAGTAAAAAACGCAGAGGATTGTGCAGCACCATACTGAGCGTGGCCTCGAAGCCGATGGGAGTGGATTGGCCCAAGCTTGCTAGTGGGTTTGTGTAGGCCGCTTACTCCGCATGAAACTGCACCTGTGGCCCCGGCTCCCACACCTGTATCATTTAATGAAAGTTATTTTCTAATTAATGAATTACTCTCAGCATTCCACAATTAAGGATACATCAATCTCCAGTTTTGACATATTTCCTTCACCATCCCCCCCCCCAGAACTGAACCCAAACAAATGGTAACCATCAGGGGTCATTTCATAGAAAAAGAGGTGCAGGAGCTAATTAGTATAACTCATTAGCATAACTTATTTGCATATGCCACACCCCCTGGCATTACCGGAAGTATGTCAGAAGGCAACGCCCACCGCTCAGGCTCCACTGGACTGTTTCGGATTGCTAGCTGTTGGGGGTGGGGGGAACGTGCAGATCTGTCCTCACAGAGGAGGGAGAGCTTCTACCTGAATAAAACTCGGTCTTAAAGGTGCCACTGGACTGTTTTGGACCGGGGGAGACGGGCTCTGCAGCTTACCTGGCTGCTTCTTGCTCTGACTGAGGGCTGCTGGGAGCAGGGAGCGGGGCTTGTTGCATGTGCCCGCCCCCTGGGCTCTTTACTGCCAGAGCTCCGCTCCTGTGCGCTCCTGCAGGAAATGACCCCTGGTAACCATATAAACTAAGCTTATTATCTCTATGTTGTCGAAGGCTTTCACGGCCAGAGTTCATTAGCTGTTGTATATTTTCCGAGTTGTATGGCCGTGGTCTTGGCATTGTAGGACCTGACGTTTCGTCAGGTCCTACAATGCCAAGACCACGGCCATACAACTCGGAAAATCTACAACAGCTTATTGTCTCTGATCCGTGAATCTGTTAAACATCTTCTATTATGCTGTATGATAATTTACTGCTCACCCTCCACCTCTATATACGGACCAGTAATTTCCATTTTTGTTTTTGTCTCTGTCGTGATTTTAATTGTACCTTCCTGGCAAAAAGCCCCTCCTTTCCTATATGTAATGTTTGACGAAAGTCTGTTTCGCTGTATCTGATGAAGTGTGTTTACAAACGGAAGCTTACCCCTTGAATAAAACTTTGTGGGTCTTAAAGGTGCCCCTGGAATCAGACTTTTTTCTAAAAAGCAGTCTTTTACTATCTTCGGCTGATCAGGCAGTTGGTTCCCTTCCTCGAACGCAATGATCTGGCAGCAGTGATCCACGCTATGGTCACCTCGAGGCTGGACTACTGCAATGCGCTCTACATGGGGCTGCCCTTGGTGCAACTAAGCTGGTGCAAAATGCGACAGCCAGGCTGTTGATGGGTCTCCCTATGCGGGAGCACACCCAGCCTGTGCTAAAGACATTGCACTGGCTGCCCATAGCGTACCAGATTGGCTTCAAGGTGCTGGTTTTGACCTTTAAATCCCTTTAGGGTCAGGGACCTACCTACCTGAGGGACCCGCCTTTCCCTGTATGTTCCCCAGAGAGCATTACGGTAGGGGCGCCAAACCCCCCCCCCCCCCCCCCCCCGGCCCTAAGGACGCCAGACTGGTACCGACTAGGACCAGGGCGTTTTCTGTAGCAGCTTCAACTTACTGGAATGAGCTTCCAGGTGAGATCAGGGCCCTGGAGGACATCTCACAGTTCCGCAGGGCCGCGAAAACAGACCCCTTCCGTCAGGCATTCAGGAAAGGAGCTGCACGTCACCATCTGTGCCCTGTGCCGACTTTACTGCCAGCCTGTGCCCGCCGAGACTGGAGCTACCGCTGATCACATGTTTCTAAGTGCACTTTACCACATCGCCATCGATATAAACATGAGCCTGCAGCGCGATGTGGCTGTGAAGAAAGCGAA